GCAAGTGACTGAGGAGGCATGCGCCCAGAGCTTCCAAAACCCCTTAATTAAGGAATATTCCTTAAATCATATTGGGGACCCTACTATAATTTAAGGTATATTCCTTAATTAAGGGGTTTTGGAGTCTCTGGGCAAAACGGACGGAGTTTTGCAGATTGAATGATAGCTTTGGCTGCTTGTCAATCTAACATGACACGAGACATGCAAGTACAGTCCACCGAGCGTGTGTGGCAAGCTCGGTCAATCCGGTGTACTTTGCCAGCGGTCGCCATTTGATGCAGGGGTACTGAGGCACTCATCTGGTGAAGGTGATGGCGAATCAATTGTCTTAAAATTCTGACAGTGTTAAGCAGTCAGCGCGGGATTTAGCAGCCTTGCATGTAGGATATCGGGATGGATTGGCCTTGGGGTCGTGTTTAGTGTTTAGGGTTTATAAACGCTTAGCGGATCTAAGGATTTTCTCCGCAACTTGGTAATTGTCGGTTGATGGCCGCTTTACCGCGAAGCTGCGCAGCCTAGATCGAACCATCTCGGCTTCCAAGTCAGACGAGAAGAAACAACATGGCCTATTGAAACCCGATGAGGTACGAAGACCACGCGTCTTCTTCGAAACTCTTCAAAATCCTTTAGCTTGAAGCCATGAACCCTAAAACCTGTACCGCATGTACCAATCAATCCTGAAGCCCCACCCCCTTGAACTCAAATCCCGAATCCTTACCCATAAACCCGGTCTGCAATTCCTTACCGTATGAAATGTTCATGGCGTCAGCTGAAGGGTTTAGAGCTATTGAGATGTGAGATGTAAGGCCTGCCTTTTCGGCTCTCCAGGGACACAGCTCAACAACATTGAAAGTTGACCAGAAATTTGGGAGTTTCCGAAGATTCAGAGTACCTTGCTGCTTATTTTCGAGTCCTTACAATATAGATCCTAGTATTTAGGGTACTATATTAGGGTCCCCGATTATTTTCGGAAACTCTCCATTGGGTACATGGGCCTCACAGGGTCGTGTTGGCACAAGAACCTCAACCTTCGTCCCACATCCTGGCTCACGCAAAGAAGCCCCCCGGTACGACAAAAGAAGAACCGGATCAAATCTGAGCCCGAAAGCCGTTTCCTAGAGTAATCAAGGTTCCGTAGACAGGTACATGTACCATTGTTAAAGTCATGTCCCTTCTTGGAAGGTGCAGTGGTTACTACAGGTAAGGCTTCATCCTAAACACTCCCCACCTGGCTTGCAGGTTCCTAGGAATTTTATCATTTCTGACCTACGAAAAACCCGCAAACCCTAAGGCCCAAGTCTTAAAACCTGCGCATTTACCCTGGGTCCCAAACCCTAAACCCAAAGCCGTAAGACCAAAATCCTCGGGCCTCACACCCAAAACCCGATGCCTTGGCAGCAGGATGAAAATGACCGACTTGCACATCATTCGGCACGATCCTTGCGGGGGGGGTGGCCCGCGAGTTGATATTCTAGATACCCATAGGCCCCAAAGTAGTTCCTTTTTGGGGTTGCCTTATAGGATTCTAAATATGAACCCTAAAAAGGAACTCCTATGGGGCCTTAGGGTAAGGCCGGGCCAAGGTTGCCTTTTCATACGGGTTGATGATATAAGTCCTGCATCTCTCCCATCATAAGGAATATCCCATAATTCCCACAGTTTAGGGTCTTTAAGGTATTGCAGGATTCATATCATCACCACTATTTTCTGGACGTCAAATTGAGGACCGTATGTAGAAAACATTGGAAGAAGCCCTGAAAAGGCAGGTTTTTTTGGCTGGAGGCAGGTTCAGGTTTTCGGGTTTACGTTCGGGTTCAGCGTTTAGGGCTTCAGGGTTTAGGGGTTTCGGGGTTTAGGGTTTAGGGTTTAGGGGTTTAGGGTTTAGGGTTTAGGGGTTTAGGGTTCAGGGTTTCAGGGTTTCAGGTTTTCTGGGTTTAAGGGTTGCGGGATGCCGTGCACTTCTTGACTTCCCCGCATAGAGTTGCATTGGCAGCAGTGCACGGTGGGGGGTTTAATTTGGGACTTTGCCTGCGGTTTAGGGTTTCGGCCTGAGGCTTCTCTCCCCAAGCCAGAACCCTCATGTGAGTTTAGAAACCCTAAACCCCTAAACCCTAAACCCCTAAACCCCAAACCCCCAAACCCTAATCCCTAAACCCCTAAACCCCTAAACCCTAAACCCCTAAACCCTAAACCTTGAATTATGGGGTTTAGGGGCTGCTAGAGCCGAGTTTGCTGAAGGCGATACATTCCTTCCGCCGTGTACAAGCAGATCGAGTGTGGTCCAAGCCTGAGGTTTGTTTGGGTTTGAGGCCTTATAGCCCTAAATCCTGAACCCTAGGCCCTAGGCTCGGTTCCGGGATTAGGTTGTAAATCCTAAATTGTGTGCTTTAACGACCATAATCATAAGGCTCTGTGCAGGGTACCTTGCAAGGGCAGAGGGTTCAGGACCTGTTGTTTCTTTTTCGCAGTGGTCGCGTTTCTGATTGCCGTAGCCCAGCACAACCTCCAAGACAGAATCCAAGAAGTAGATCCCTTGAAGTTGTTTCCATAAAGTACCCTTTACATAGCCCAAATTAGGGATCTACTTTCTAGATCCTCCCGTCTGGGCTAGAGTAGAGTAGAACTGGAAGAAGATTCGCTGACAGAGATTGGCCCCAGTAAGCAGCGGAACTCCTAAACCTCACCTAAACCCTAAGAAACTTACCCTTTTTAGGTTTCCTGATCATAGTTTCCTTATGCAAAACCTTGAAAAGGTAGGTTATTTGGATTAGTTAAACCCTATACCTGGACCCTAAGCCTTCCTGGTTATAGTTTCCTTACATCAAAAAGGTTCTTAAAGAGGCAGGTGATTTGGGGTGGCTGTCATAAACCCTAAGCAGATGGCCCGTTTTACCCGGGATCTGTGGAGTAGACCTCCTGAACTCCGCTCCATCTCTCCAGGCGAAAGGCATCTCCTCACGTTAGTGGTATCCCTCGTTCTAATTTCGGAGGCCCTTATTTCCACCATCACTATCAGCATCATCCTCATAACCCTGAACCCCAAACCTCTAATGATGGTTATAGTCGTTATCATCAGCAACATAAGCCTGGATCCTCCGCTCTCCATCAGTCCCATCATTTAGTAACATCATATATATATATATATACTCCCACATATATATATATATATATATATATATATATATTATATATATATATGTGGGAGTTTCCGAAAATAGGGAACCCTAATTATAGTATAGTACCCTAGATAGTAGGATCCTTACTATAAGGAGCCCAAAATAAGGTACCCCAATTTTCGGAAACCCCCTCATACAGACGGACAAAGCCCTACACGACCCATCACAGGGTATTGTCCAAGCCTCAGTGCCACAGTTATACCTCCGCTTTGCCTGTTTCACACCTATGCCAGCCCAAAACTCTAGGCCCTCCACAAGCTTTGTTAAAGCAAGCATGAAATCTTGAACCCAAACTTCTGAACCCTCTTCCCTATTCCCTCGGCCTTTCAACTCACAAGCCTCCACATGAGGAACACTGACGTATGTCAACGAGATGCGCAACATCTCAACCATCTTCGTGAATGGGTCAGGCAACCCCCGCCCACCGCCTGCGGGCAGGGTGCTCTTTTCGTCTTGTGCCCAATGGGGTATTCTTAACCTAACCACAAATAGAACCTTGGAAGGCCCACCAGAAGATATTATTGTAGATTATGGGGGTCATTCGTTTCACCCTACGGGCACACTTAGATTCGCGTTGAGGGTTTGTTTTTTAGTGTTGAGGTTCTAGGGGGCCTGCCCGCCCCCCCCCCCCCCCTGACAATCTCACCTAGTTAATTAAGGACAAATCTTATGTGTAATCGAAAGCATAACGAGGAACTCAAATGCGTTTTTCTAGGCGGCTTAAGCCTAAAGCCCCTTCCCTGAAGTGTAAACCCCGCCTGGCTTTTGGAGGCCGCCCAACTGGGTCATTGAGCATGCAATATTTGAACTTAGCCTTCTGCGTTCTCTGCATAATACATATATATATATACACACACACACCCTAAACCCTAAACCCTGAACCCTAAACCCTAAACCCTAAACCCATCAGACAGACACCCTTGCCATGTCTGCACTGGCCACCAACACCGTTCCGTGCTGTGCGCTATATCCGAAGGCGAGTACCCAAAGGCCCCAAAGTAGTTCCTGTTGGGGGTTCATATATAGAATCCCATAAGGTAATCCCAAAAAGGAACCACTTTGGGGCCTTTGGGTAAAATTGTCCCGACCTCGGCAAGTCTGGTGATCAGCCCTGAATCCGAACGTCAGAGTCCAAAATCCAGAAACCCAAGCCTTGAAACTTACGACACCTTAAATTAGAAACTAGAAACCAAGAACCTAAGCCTCAGAACTTAATCCCATCTTAAAACTTAAAGTAAGAAGCTGTAAGTCTCTTCCCTGAGCTGTTGATCGACTTCTAGTTGCTAAACTGCTAAATCCTGAACTCGCATAACATGCAAGCCTGGTTTAGGGTTTAGGGACTAGACAGTTACTTCAGCTTGGACCCTAAAAAACAGGTCGACCCGAAAGGCTCATCCCCAACCCCCTTTGTTGGGGTACCTACCTGCTTATATAACAGATCGTCACTATCAACTACGTACCCGAAAAGGGGTAGGGCATGACACTCTATGTAGAACTCGAAGAAAGGCCTCCGAGGAAGCGAACGCCGGTCCCCTTGAGATTCACTGGTTCTGCTTTTTGGCCCTGCCCCTAGGGGTCCATGTGCCCAAACAACATATACTTTGAACCGTAAAGTAGTCCCTATATAGGTACTTTAGGGCCAAAGTCTATGCCGTTTAGATGACACATGGAGCCCTACCCTTAGAAACGCAGACTCCTTGATCCTGACATCGCTAACCCGAAGCCGCTTTGCCCAACATGTGCTTTTCCTCAACCCTAAACCCTAAACCCCTAAACCCTAAACGCAATTCCCGTACGCCTCATCCTCGTGCAGGTTTAGATATCATGTCCGAGGAGGGACCGAAGATAGCGCAGGTGCCCCAACTAACTAGGGGCTTCAATGGGCTTCAAGGGGGCTTCAAAGGGGGCTTAAATGGGGGCTTCAAGGGGGGGCTTAAGGGGTGAATTCAGGGCTCTGAGGGTGCATACCTAGGTTCTATTCTTCGTAGAGTCTCCATCGTAGTTCCTGTTTTGGTTAGCCCGTTTTGGGTTATGGAATCCAAAAGAGGAACTACAATCAAGAGTACAGCCGAACTTCTTGGTTTCAAATCCTTACAGCTAACTTAGTAGCTGAGTGGATACACTTTACACTTTTTCGGGAAATATTACCCAATATGAGGCCGAAGACACTTTTGGGGGCTTATAAACTCAGCAACTAAGGCTAAAGACGGAGTTCAGGGGTGCAAGACAATACTTTTTGGGGTTGAGGACATAGGCTCGCGATGAATGTTTCCTAAGGCTCCAAGTATACAAGTTTGGGGTTTAGGGTTAGGGGTTTAGGGTTTGGGGTTGGGGGTTTAGGGTTTTGGGGGTTTAGGGTTTGGGGTTTAGGGTTTAGGGTTTGGGGCTTAGGGTTTTAGGGTATAAGATCTGCAAAGTCGATTGCTTTGCACTTGTTAAAGGGGCCGCAGGGTACTGGATATTTCCCACGAGTGTTGTGAACGTGAACCAGCATGTTCTCGGCGCTCCGTTGGGTTTTGTCCATCGCTTGATCTGACTGACAAGGGCTGTACACGTCGATGAACCGTAATTTAAACTGGAAAAACCGCGAGAGAAGCCTTTCAAACCCTATCAAAACCTATCAATCCTTAGAAAAAGTCGACGAAACCCACGGAACATAAGCTGAGGAGTATGGGTCTCTCTGACCTTTTGCCAGGAACTCATGGAATCCGTGCAGCGAGCTTGCTACCAACATGAAGGCAGATTTGTCTTCAGGGTTTTGGGGTTGTCGGGCATTCTTGGGTGGTAAGAATTTAGATTGTAGCAAGGGTTTCGGTTTAGGGGTCTACGGTTACGGGTCTGGTGTTTAGGGGTCTGGGGTTTAGAAATCCCTACAGGGAGCCCCGAAGCCGTGAATCTTTGGCTTCTAGGTAGAAGGGTTTACAGTTAGTAGGTGGGGTTTCAGTGTCTCACATCCGGGATTTGGGGTTTCAGGTTTAGTGTGGGGTCATCTTGTTCCCCAAGACTGACACGACATGTAACCCGCAAATTGAGCCACCAACGTCGACCGTGTAAGCCTGTAGCCTGAACCCACCCAAGACTAAAGCACCAATTCTCAAACCTAAACCCTGAACCCCTACGCCCCAAAAGCAGCATACCATGCATCGACCGATGACCTCCTGTCGAAGGTCGACCTCACAGTTGTTGAATACATAAACATCCCGCAAGCTGTAACCGCATACCGCACTGCACGTCTGGGCTCAGGTACACACTGGACATGACATACCGCACTAAAATCCCCAAACGTTGCTTGAAATCAAAGCCTGAGACTCCACACCTCTTACATGCCGGCTATGCCAAGTGTGTTAGCTTGAGCCCTGAAGCTTAAGGCGTAAGGCATTACTATAGGGGCCTTCATAATTACCTATACTATTCTGGGGTTCCTTATATCATAGTTTTCGTATAATGGGCCCCAAAACCCTATTCTACTTATTAAAGGCCCCTATATTAAGTTATTATGTCTGTGTCGGGGGTTAGGGTTTAGTCAGGCTTTGGATCTTGGGCTCAGCGAGATTTAAGCCCTCTTCCCTGAACCCGAACCAACCGCTGGTTTTTCTTTACCTTAACCTACCAAAACCCGCCTGTTTGTCGTTCTTATGATAAACCCTGACATAGATTTTCTCGGGGCCCGAACAAAAAGTAGGTTTAGGTGGGTGAAGGTAGACCCTGAACACAAGAACCCTACGTTGATTGATTGTAAAGGCCCAAATGTTGGCGTTATTCTGGCTGGCTCTTTAGACTTTAATTTGTTGTGTTTGTATGTGAACTATAAATAAGGAGGCTAAAAGTTTAACTTTTAGGAGGGGTTCAGCAGTCAGCCAAGCAATGTTAAGCCCTTGAAGGCACTCTGAACAAGTTCCTGATTGATGACAAGGGCATGCTCTTCCTGCTGGTCCCGCGCTCAAGGTTTAGGGCTTTAGGGGTTTAGGGTTTAGGGTTTGGGCTTCGGCCACATTGGTACCTCCCAAGGGGCTTTCGTGAAATTCGAAGGCCTGATTAGACACGAATCCAATGGTAAGATCCTTCACCTAAAGCACCACCCTTTCTAAAGCCCCCCCCCCTTCTCTCCCCCCCGAGAACCGAGAAGGTATTCGCTCAAACACTGTGAACCGGTTCCACTAGAGCGGGGCATGAGGATACATCCCAACATGTCTGGATGGACTCTTCCGCTTGTCACCAAGTCTCATAGTCCCAAGCAGCAGCACCCAACTGTATTCCAGCCTGATCACGGTTTGGAAAGTCATTGTTAGTCATAGGGCAACGAAACCTAACCACACACTGCAGTCTGTGGCTTCCCCATATGAAGGTACCCTGATGTAATGACATTCAGCCCTGATTGCTTACACCTATTCATGAAAGCCTCGACGACCATAAAAAGCCAACCAGACCCCAAAGGCTTAATTCAGTCTATGGGTGGTTGTCAATGTCATGGTCCCTTTTGGGGTCCTTATTATAATACGGCACCTAGTAACCTAGTATTTAGGCTACCCGAACAGGGACCATCATTTTGACAGCCACTCCTATGATGTCCTTCACCTACACGGGAAGCCCCCAAGAAGCCCTCCAAGCCCGACAGTCCCCTCAACCCCATAATCCCTAAACCCTCTAAACCCTAAGCCCCTAAACCCCTAAACCCCTAAACCCCTAAATCCTAATCCCTAACCCCTATAAACCCTAAACCTTAAACCCCTAAACCCTAAACCTCCAAACCCGCGTAAACCCTAAAACCCAAAGCCCAAAACCGCGCACTTTGAGGTCTTCGGGCTGCCCCCGCTCGTGCACACGGACGACCCCACGCGAGCCGTGTTGGCGTGTTTCGACATGGTCAAGGCCGGACGGAGCTTTCAGGGCCCCCCGACAATTTGGGGGTTTAGGGGTTCAGGGTATCGGGTTTAAGAGTTCAGGGGTTTAGGGTTAAGGGTTTAGGGTGCTCATAACCGCCCAGTAGCCTTATGCGGTTTGCTCAGGGGTTTAGGAGTTCAGGGGTTTAGGGTTAAGGGTTTCGTGGTTTAGGGTTTTTGGGTTTAGGGTTGGAGTTCGCCGGTTTCAGGTGGTTGGGCTTTGATCCTATTTTGTTGTTGCTTCGGGATGCTTTGTCAATGTCCCTAAATGTTCATGTGCCCAAATAGGTTATACTGCGGCCCTAAAGTAGCATTATATAGGGGACATCGTACCATACGGGTGCATGGACCCTTTACCCTAAAACCTAAGCTCGTATGGTACCCTCGGAGGAACCACGTAAACGATCCCTTTTTAGGCACATGAACCCTTAGGGTTGTATAGAGTATAGACTTTTGAGTTCTTTTCGAGCGTGCAATATACAGCAGAGTCACAGATTGCGAGGGGCTACAGGGAGCGGCGGCGGGGTGTGGGGTCGTATGTTTGTTGGGAGGTTCAATTGCGCGAAGTTGAGCAATTCCTACTCAGAGCCTTAAACCCCAGCCCCGACTTCCAACTGTAATTCCTTCGTAATAGCTGCTTTCTCTTGAGATGGGCAGGTCTTCAAGCGCCTCAAGCTTTGCGGCAAGTTTGGAGTTACCACCGGGCGAAGCTACTGCGACTCGGCTGAAGTACCCTAAACTTACCCTAAAGTGAGGCTTCAATGAAAGTTTGGCATTTGAGTTTGGGGTTGCTGATGCATGCAGAGAGGGACCAGCTACAGTGTATAGTCATATCCCTCTGTCTTTCTATTTGTCTATATATCTATCTGTCTATCTATGTATCTAGAACTGTCCATTTAATTAGCTCACTGTTTCAATATCTGTCTATCCATCGACACATTCTCGCTCTCTCTCTCTCTCTCTCTGTCTGCCTGCCTGCCTGACTGCCTGCCGAACTACCTACCATTAACTACAGACATACATGCGTGCATGCATACAGCAATACATTGTCTTCTTATCGGTGTATGTATGTCTATGTATATATATATATATATATATATGTGTGTGTGTGTGTGCACGTAATTAAACCAAATGTTACGTACGTATTCATATTCTTGTATGCAGATGTACATGTATGTACAGAGACGGACTCAGTCAGTCAGCCGGCCGGCCAGCAAGACAGGCAGGCTGTCTGTCTGTCTGTCTGTCTACACGGTGTATGCATGCATGCACGCATGTATGTCTGTAAGGGTAGGTAGCTCGGCAGGCAGGCAGGCAAGCAGGTAGGTAGGACTCTTTTACTGCATATGGTACTTCGTATGCTTGCTGGTTTGCACAGATTGAACACTGATGTACACTCTACTGCGTTATGTTGCATTAGACTGGCTTGCATCCCATGTCGTAAGTTCTGTAACAGAACAGAAAATCTATGTATAACGGTTTGAGAGATGTAGCAATCGTGTGTCAGTCCGAGGTACAGAGTCCCAAGATTGGTTGATGGATCTCAGACATGGTTTTTGGGGTTGAGGCGGTGGGAGTGGCGAATCCTGAAACGATTTCTGGCTTGCACAAAGGACTTGGGCAATTGGAAAGGTTGGAGCTGGCCAAGAAAACCCCTAAGCCTAAGCCTTTGACCCCTGCAAGAGAAATGCAGCCAATTCTCAGGCGGTGTTTGCGGCAGCGCCCGCCGCATGGAGTACACCGTCCTTGGTGACTGCGTGAACCTGTCGGTGGGGAAGCCTACAAAGGGACCCAAGATTGCAAGCCAAGAAATATCCCCACACCTTGGAATGAATCCATTCGGAGCTTAAAAGATGAGAAGTAAGCCCTAAATTTTAACGGGTTGGAGTAGCATTGTGTCCACCGCTGCCAAAACTTCCCCTTTTGGGTTTCACTGGTTTTAAGCGGCATGCGGCATGTGTCATAGAGCTCCGACCGACGCCCAAGATTTCGTGACTCGTTGACGGGTTCCCAAAGCCCCCAAATTTCATTGGGGCCTGGACATGGTTGGACCCTAATCCCCAAAGCCTAAACCGATCTAACCCGCAAATCGTGGCAGTGGAGTTCAATGACTCGGTGGAATTCGACCTTTTGTTTGGAGTGTGTTCTTTGCCGCTTGGGGCCTTCAAGGGGCTTAGCATTACGGTGCGAATTGAGAGATTTGAATTTTGGGGTGTGTGGTTCAGGTTTTGGGGGTTTAGGACCGTTTCGGATTTAAGGTTCAAGGTGCCATTAAAGCCTAAACCCCTAAACCCTTAAACCCTAAACCCTTGAGCCTGGAGACCCCCCCATGACTCTTGCACACACTCTTATTGGCAGACCCGTACATTCTAGAAGCACAAATCTGCTGGCAGCGGTCACGTTTGGCATGTTTTGAGGCCCTACGCGAGGTTTGTTGGTAGATGGGTCTTTTCGAGCGGAGTCCCGGAGGTTTCTAGTGCCACGCATCGAGATGAAGTACGATTGGAAAACTAGTGACGCTACATGATGCGCAAGGTGATCTATTTTGAACCACCGTGTAGATGAGTTCAGGTAGGCTTGATTCCTGATCATGCCTAAATCCTACACCCAAAAGCCCTCCAAGCCAAGTTTTAGGCCCCAAGCCGTATAAACCCTAAAGCCTGAAATTAGGATCTCAACCCTACACCTACCAACGGCTGGAGGCGCGGCTCATGTCCAATGCGCCGGCCAACGGTCTCTTGGCTGTTCATAGGGGTACTTAGAGAAATATTTTTAATTTTTTGTTATTATAATCCTTAAGAAACAGCTAAAATTATGATTCTTGCTAGGGTTCTAAGTTCAGTATAGTGTTGAAATCGAAGTCGAAACGGATTCACGCCTCTGTAGGGTTTAGGGTTTAAAGGTTCATAGGGTTTAGGGCTTTAGGTTTTAGGGTTTTAAGGTTTATAGGGTTTAGGGTTTAGAGCTAATGTAGGGGCCTTAACACTTACAACAGGGTTTTAGGGGCTTCCTTAGTACAATAGTATATATATATATATATATATTACACACACCCAAACTCAATTCTAACGGTTTAACTTAGGCCCTTACATTACCATTGATAGGGCCCTTATGCTCCATACAATAAGGACTTGCATGGCTCACTGGTGCACAAGTCACGACACACATGTTCTTGCCATTGCCAGGGCATTTGAGTTAAATTCAGTCGACCAAGAATACGAATTTTTGCAAACAACCCGCATCCCCAAGGGTCCAAGTACCCAATAATCATATACTCTCCAAAATCCTAACCTACGTAACTACTATCCTAAAACCGAGTACCTACGTAATCATTGAGGCCCATATAATAGAACCCTTAAAGAAACCCGTTTAAAGGAACCTTATAGAACCCTTTAAAGGAACCCTAACTATTGGGCTCTTTGGACCCTCGGGGCATGCAGCAGCTGCAACTTGCGCACGAGAGGTTTTGTTCCAAAGAAGCTTCCTGCCTACTTGCAGCCCGTGCGTGCCATTATTAGCGGAATGCACCTGAAAATCAAGCCTTCAAACTTCTGTGCAGGACTCCTTTATCCCTTCACGTGTAATTAATCATTCCTGAAAAGTTCCCGTGCCTTATGACGACACGACTGACCCCATCGGTACTAACATGCCTCAAGCCGCTCAAAGCCCTTGAATCCTGTATAGCACCCAGACCCATCGGACAGAACCCGTTTCATAAAGCAGACCCTCAAAACCCAGCAAAGCTGCAGAAATCCCTCACCCAGAACCCCAAGAAAGCCTCGTAGACCTTTGACTCCAAACCCCAACGAAGCTGCATAGATCCTTGTAAGCAGAGGCATTCTGTGCGACGACATCACCCGAAAGCGCTCCACGACAGAGGCTCGGGGTTCTGCGATGTTGAACTTCAGGCTTTTGGTGTTTAGTAGGGTTTAGGTATGGTTTTTCTGGACCCTAAAGAACCTTATGATTTCCTTCTACAAGTCCTTAAGAAGGGTTGTTTAGGGTCCAGGTACCCAATAATCATATACTCTCCAAAATCCTATCCTAAAACCGGGTACCTAGTTATTGGGTCCTTTTGGACCCTTGGGGGGTTGTTTAGAGTCCAGGTACTTGGAGGGACAGGGGACTTAGCAAGTAGGTTATAGGTAGAGTTATAAGTACCCTAAATGGAGTTACCCCAATTATACCCCTACTTATAACCTGCTTACTAAGTCCCCTGCCCCTCCAAGTAGACCCGAAACCCTAAACCCCCATAGATCCCTTTAAGGAACCCTATAGATCCCTTCAAGGAATTCTATAGGAACCCAACAGATCCCTTCAGGGAACCCTATAGATCCCTTTAGGGTCTTGCATGAGTCTTCGGAGCTTGGGTCTTGGTTCGGTTTGCTTGGGGTGTCTTAGGGGTACTTAGAAATATTCTTTTGATTTTTTTGGCATTATAATCCCTAAGAAACAGCTGAAATTATAACTTTTGCTAGGGTGCTAAGTTCAGTATAGCTACTTCTGACCTGAATCAGGGCACCTATAACCTTACTTGTCCCCAAACCCGAAACCCTAAGACCTTAAACCCTTGTCGGGTGTCGTGAGCGGACTTCGCTTTGGTTGCATCGACTGGTTTGGGGCCTTCAGGGTTGCAGGGTGTAGGGTTTAGGGCTTAGGTTTAGGGTTTAGGGTTTAGGGCTTAGGGTTTAGGGTTTACGGTTTAGGTTTGGGTTGTCTTGGAGTTGAGGCTGTATACAGATTTCAGCTGAATTTTCGCCGGACTGGCCAGGCATTCGAGCTTTGGCGGCCTAGTGTTTAGGATCCTAGTTTCTGGATTTATGGTCAGGATGTTGCTCTTTGAGAATGTGTTATCGGCAGCCAAGTGGGGCCGCGGGTGGCCGCAATTGGGGTGACAGCTAGCTATTGCGGCAAGACGGCACTGTCGTCTGTACCTGTGTTCTTGCCAACATACGAACGTTAACGGCATGGGCATTTCGTGGGTTTAAGGGATGTGGCATTGGTACCGCTGCCTACAGCTCATAACCGGTGGATAGTGCGAAGACCACTCCTGAACACCTTGCCGGTAGTAAGGATCCTGTAAAGGGATTCGGTTATTTGGTTTTAGGTTTCTTGAAGGGCTTCTTCGAAAGGGTTCTAAGAGGGGTTTACCCTAAGGCTCCATAGTAGTTCCTTTTTAGGGATCATATTTAGAATCCCTGAAGGTAACCCCAAAAAGGAACTACTTTGGAGCCTCTGGGTACTTTAAGGAAATTTACGGGTTCCTTAAGGGCTCCATATGGATCTTAGAGGATCTTCGGGGTCTACCTATACAGGTCGTCATCGTACTTCCTTCGTGTTGGTCGCAATATATATATACACACATATATATATATATATATATGTATATCTAATTAATATAGCTATAGATTCCAGGATCCAACTAGAAAGACTGGCTAACCCAAAGAAGAAGTACTTACAGTGGATAGTGTAGCTAGTGTTTTTCGGGTTTAGTGTTTGAGCTTGTGCAGTTTAGGTCGGCGCCAAGCTGGCCCGAAAGCCTTAATCATGTGTCTAAGTCTACGGCTTAGGGTGCGGTTTACGGCTCTCTGGATGCGGCTTGAAGATATGTGGGTTCTAGCCAAATCTCAGACCTCTCAAGTTTTGAATGCCGTGAATCCTAGACAGCCAGAACTTGGAGGGTCGGGGTACTTAGTAATTAGTTATCTTTTAGACTTATAAGTATCATGACCCCAATGAAGACCCCTTTAGGGTCACTTATAACTCTACTTATTACATAATTACTGGCTAAGTCCCTCACACTTATATATCCCTTAAAGGAACCCTCAAAGGAACCTTGAATTTTACCCTTAAAGGATCCCTTAAAGGAGACCTAGAAATCCTCACCAGGTGATCTTCAACGCGCTGGCGCCCATCAAGGTTAAGGGCAAGGCGGTAGGGGAAGTCTTGCACATGCCCTGAACTCTAAACTCTGAACCTGAGATCCTGAACATTACATCGTAGTATGATCCTGAACCCTCCGGAACCGAATCTGAGATCCTAAGCCCTCAAACCCTAAACCTTACACAGTAGTATAACCCTAAATATTGAGACCGTAATTGACCCCCCCAACATCGTATACACCCTCAACTTTGCACCTGAAGGTTCAATAAGCCCCAATTCCTTGCATACCTTCGGGGGCGAATATTTGAGTAGGACTCGGAATGTTCGGTCCGTATAGCCCCTCGTAGAACTATAGTGTAACAACAGAATCAACATCTGGTTCGAAGTATAAAGGCCCTTTGGATACAACAACCCCCTTTTTAAGGCTTCGGGGTTTCCTAGAGATTGATCTTTTCTGCAAGGGATGTATCCCCTGCCCCCTCCCCCTTACCCCCCCAAAGGGTCCCTATAATTCGGGGACCGAGGGTGGCAGCAACTTGGAATCATTCATGGGGTTACTTCGCTATCAAGGCTTCGCTATGAAACCTCCAGAACTTGTAGAACAAGGACTCGCAATATCATTCAGGGCCTTTTTTCCCGAAAAGCCTAGAGCCTAAACCCTAAACCGCCAAACCCCTAAGCTCTTAAGCCCGGACCACTGTGCATTTTTTGGAAGCCGCGCTTCGTTTTCAATTACTGATAGTGATAATAGCCAATCAGAATGATGATTTTAATTGTTAGAGTAATATAGAAATGATAATTACAAATATCAAGAACAATGGCCATAATAACCATTTATCGATACAAATACTAATCACCATCGTCATACTACTGGTTAATACCTGTTATTCGCCTTGTTGTTATCGTTGTGATAAGTGTTACAACTATGGAGGCCTCAAAGCAACCATCATCGAGCCAATACACACCCGAAACCATCCCTTAAACCCTTAAACCCTACATAAGCCCTTAACTGCCTTGAACCTTAGAGTCGAACTGCAACCCTAAAAGAGTTAAGGTTCCATATGGGGGTTTCCGAAGACTAGGGATACCTGGTTCGGGGTCGTTATAATAAGGATCCTACTATTTGGGTACTATATTGAGGGTGCCCTATTTTCGGAAACTCCCATATACCATATAGGGTTTCATAGATTTGGGTCCAGGGCCCTACTTTTAAGGGTCTTTTGGTTTTCAAGGAAGCAGCTCCGTTCTACATCCTGGACAGGCCGCAAACATCCCCGTCTTCCAGCCGGTGAAGAAAGAGTACAGCTCGGATATCGGCTTAAACAAAACCGGGTTCGGAACCCAGTCCCTGGGTACAACGGTTGCTTTACGCTTTTAAGGCTTCTTGTTGTATAAGTGTTTTGGGTACGAGGTTTAACGATCGGAGTTTAGGATTCGGAATTAAGGTTCAAGGTTTCGCACGTAGACTTCGTCTTTCGCTTCAGTTGCACTGCGGTGTGCCTCAAACCCCAATGGTCCAAGTACCCAATAGCCATATACTGTCTCCAAAATCCTAGCCTGCATAACCACTATCCTAAAACCGAGTAATTACATAATTATTGGGTCCTTTGGACCCTTGAGGGAAAGGATCATGGTCACAGTCACTGTGGCTTTGCCTTCTGGTTTCGGTGTCAGATTTAAGCGGCTTTGCGAGTTGAAATGGTTTAGGAGGGTTTGGGGTTGCGAGTATCCACTATGGGCTATTAGACCCTAAAGATCCCTTTTAGGACCCTATTAAGGGTAGATTAAGGTACCCTTAAGGTCTAATATCCCATAGTGGTAAGGCAAAGGGCCAAAGGCTTTGCATGTAGGGCCTTGGGAGGAAGCTTCTGGAGGTCAATACTGTTAAGTTACCAGCTGAACGCCGAAAGCTTTCCCTGACCCGCCCATGAAACATAAACTATAGGCCATGAGTCTCCCCGAACCCCGAAATCATAAACCTTAGACCCAAACCCGAAAGCCTAAGCCCCTAGCCCAAGACTTACCTTCGGCTAGTAGGGAATGGAGGAATGGGGTACAATTATAACTACTACGGTTGATGATATACATCCTGCATGACATTAAGGACTCTAAACTATGGGAATAATGGTATATTCCGTATTATGGGTACTGCAGGGTTTGTACCATCAACAGTATTGCGACCATTCTTCCATTCCCTACCAAAGGTAAGAAGATGCTCCCCCGCAGTCTGCGAGCTGGCTCCATTGTCTCCATCTGACGATTCGTCCGGCGTCGTGGCAGTCGTACTTAAACGATCATGGGCCTTAGTAAGTGAGGTTAGTTATAATTACTTATAACCCCAATTAAGGTACTTATAACCCTACTTACTAAGTCCCGTGATCCTCCAAGTAGACTTAACGGTGGAGGACCGCGAAGATGATCTGTTGCCAGAGTTCGGCCCACGACTCGCAACGGCAAGCTGCTGAACATCAACAACGCGAAGCGACGCTCCGAATTACTCTAAGGGTCCATATGTACCCAAATAGTATATACTTTGGGCCCAATGTACCCATATAAGGAGTACTTTGCGGCCAAAGTATATACTGTTTGGGTACATGGACCCTTAGGGTTACTCATCAAGGCGATGGTGACGCAGCCGCTGGACCTTTGCGGCCAGAGTCAGAGACTGAACTCTTTTGAATATGGGTAGTTGTCAAGTTTAAGGTCCCTCTTTGGGTACCCTAAATATTAGGTGCCGTACTGTAATAGGGACCCAAAAAGCTAAGGGACCCTAATTTTGACAACCACCCATATGACCTCGGACTCACAGGGAGCTGATTCGGACGTGACACACTTGACAAAACCCTAAACCTTAAACCCTAACCCCGAGATGGGAGTGTCCTAAAAGTAGGGGTACCCTAGGGTTCCTTTAAAGGGATCCTTTAAGGGCTCCTTAAAGGGATCTATAAGGGTTCTATAAAGGGTTTAGGGTTTATTTTGGGGTCCTTATAATAAAAATCCTACTGACCTGACGGAATCTCCGATGCACCGGAGGCAACTGAACTCTGGAAGGCTTCCCCAAACCCTGAAACCTATAAAAGCCACAAAGCCCTAAACCCTGAACCCTAAACCCTAAGCCCTCTTTTCCTTTGGGCGAAAGGAAAAGAGGGCACAAAAAAAAAAAAACTAAACCCTAAGCCCTAAAGCCCTAAAGCCGAAGGCTTCCCCAAACCCTGAAAGCCCAATATGCCCAGAACTCGTCAACCCCCGAAGCTGCGAGCCCCTTTTCCCCTGATGCCTATACCCGCGGGTACCCTAAACCACCTCATGAAGTCATACCTGGGGTACGGCCCCCACTCAGTAACAGTTGGATAGTAATCATAGTATAGATATATAAGGCCCTTAATAGTAGCCCTATTATAGACTGTTACTGTATGGGGGCCGTACCCAAGTCATACCCCCCTACGGACAGTTCAGGCCATCAGTGTTGGACTCCCCCCTTCCCTCAGAGACCACATGGCCATCAAAAGTAGGGGGCTTTATACCCACCCGCACGCGTCCTGGGGTTGAGGGCTTTACGGGTTAGGTTTTAAGGTTTAGGGTTTAGGGGAGTAGGTTGCGAAACTATAACCCTATTATACTATAACAGCAAAGTTTAACCTCTTTAGCCCCTCCACCACGACGTCGGACAAGTCAGGCTTAGAAGTCCTCTACCGGAGGGGTTGTGATGTACCGAGAACAACGATCCGGACTTCTAAGCCTACTTATTTATATGAGGGTTTTTAAAAATAGGGGACACAAATATAGTACCCTAAATAGTAGGATCCTTATTATAAGGACCCTAAATAAGGTACCCCTAAAATCGGAAGCTCCCATATATGTAGCCCCACCAAAGCCGTACTCAGCAGGGCCTGTAGACCGGACAGCCTGAAGCTCTGAGACCCAAAGGACAAGGGTTTAGGGTTTAGGGTTAGGGTTTAGGGTTTAGGGGTTTAGGGTTTAGGGTTTAGACCCAAAGGACAAGGTTTAAATCCCTCTTCAAAGGTACCTTGGAGGGTTTACAGTAGAAAGTTGGAATATCATTATCGTAACCCCTTTCAGGTAAATTATAGGGCATCCTACCATTAATCCATATTCCAACTTTCTGGAGTTCCCTTTAAGGTGAGAGACTCGAAACAGGCACAAGAAGCCATGTATCCGGCGTACCAGGTCTTCTAAAACCCTGTGTAAATCTCCTAAGTGGCTTCAGGAAGATCTCATTCCCATGGCATCAGAATGCTTTCGGTGGAACCACATCGGGAGGCTCCGTCGCACTGCATACCGGTAACTCTGGCGGATTCTGTGTATACTTTATCCATTGCTTGTGTAACCCCTATAACCCTAAATCCCTAAACCCTCGTAACCCCTAACTTGGGGTGCCGGCCGGGAGTTCCAAACGCATGGTGTTGAGATGATGTGGGGCAGGCTGGATACCCCTAACGGTCCATGCATCCAATAGTATACACTTTGGTCCTAAAGTGCCTGTACAGAGGCTACTTTCAGGTCAAACTATACACTCGACACCCTAAGGCCCGAAAACCCGGAATCCTAGACCACGCCTCCCAAAACGAGCACGACCTAGACCCTCGGCATAAGAGGCTTGGCTTGGGTTGCAGACACCCTAAACCCGAAACCCTACACCCCGAACCCTAAACCCTAAACTTAAGAGTTCTCTCTGACGGGTCTTTAGTTTGTCAACAAAAACTGGCGTCCACGAAGGCTGGAGATATGCTTCCGTGAACGATGCGTGAAATATACTACATGGGCCTTTGTGATTAATTTCCAATAAGACTATTGTGGGGGTTCCTTACTATAATTGTATTATAATGGGCCCCAAAACCCTATTCTTATTGTTAAGGCCCCTATATTAAATCACTCTGAAGCCCTTCTTTCATCGCCCTGCTCCTTCCTCGAGTCCAATGCCACGGAAACGAAGCTGTTCGTAGCGGTTGGCGGGATGTCAATTTCATGGGAATTCACGCCTAGCCCAAATGGTGCTGACAATCGGCCTAGGTTGGATTGTCCCGCACAAAACCCTGAACCCTAAACCCTATTGAACTATTACCACAGGCTCGGACCCTGCAACCTGCAACCTTACAGACTCCACACGCTTTGAATATGGGAAGCAACTCTCGCACATACATATATAAACTTGAAATATCGCCGTTTACACTCCGAACTGGATCTATACAGTCGTCCCTGTATGAAAATCCAATATTATATATATACACACATTATATATGTATATATATGTATATGCATGAACCCCAAAACCCCATGTTGAAAATGTTCAGGCCCGTCGAAACAGCCCTTTTCCTCTTGCATTGTGATGTTTGATTTCTTCATTGTTTGCAGGTCTCTCGGTTGCTGAGTTCCAGGCACGTGGACGAAGTCGGGTTGATATGGGTTCACTATTATTTGCTTAAGAACCCCCAAAAATAGAAAATAATAATCCCTATATTACCCCTATAAGGAACATTTTTATATTTTTTTGGTGTTCTTAAGCAAATAGTAGTTCAGGTAGTGAGAAAGCAAGGGGTGTGGGGATCACGGCTCACCTTAACCCTGAATAACCTACCTTTTTGGGGTTCCCCTTTTCTGAGTCCCTGTAATAAGTCCTTAAACGGTAGGTTATTTCGGGTGAAGGCATGGTTTAGGGATTTTTGGGTTTCTTTTAGCACTGCGATGAAACTTGAATCCGAAGAGCGGCAGTTTGGGTTCCCCGGGAAGGGCTTTGGGTTTAGGTTTCTGCTTTGAGCATCGTAAACTTGCACACCCTTAAACCTCAAGCCCGACATCCGAAAATTTTAAAACCCCCGAAGCCGTAACCCTACATAAACTTTGTTTCTTATAACCTGAAATCCGTAGGTTCCGTTCGTTCTCGTATATTTTACTCCGAAACACTATTCTAATTCTCAAGGCTCTAATGTGGGGCTCCACAATGCTCACAGTAGGTACTCTCTATAGACGTTAGGCCCCAAAGGGGGTGCTATTTGTCTGCTCGGAGCCCAAGGGCTCTAGCAAATTACAGGCCTTCAAGGAACCCTCTTCTAATGAGTAGAAAGGCCCTTGTTCCCTAAACTCTAAACCCTAGCCCCCGGCACTTGTGGTCAGAGGGTCTCTTTGGCCCAACATGGAAGCGTAGACCTGGTTTATCTCTATAGGTATACTCTCTGTTACATACAGTTACATACCTCTTAATCCCATTCTGGGACCCAAATACAACTGCCAGTATCCGCCGGCGGTAGAGGAGGTTATAAACCCTAAACCCTATAGCTTCAACCATATAAACCCTGAGCCCTGCCTTAGCTGAGCTAACCACTCTTGGTTCCACTGCTGCCCTGCCATCAGCTCGTGGCACTACAAGCTCTCCAGCCCTTGATCCAAAACCACGAATTTCTGATTTTCCAGCAGCTCGGAAGCAACCCTCATGTATTCCTCTGACCCGTAAACCTTTTTGGGGGCCCGCGAATCTGCGGAAGAACCGCCCGCACTGCATCTGGTGCTTTTTGCTGATGAGAGCACCGGCGGCAACGTCTTGGCCACGGATCAGCGAAAGAAGTGCACGCTGTTGTACTTCAGCTTCAAGGAATTTGGCAACGACATCCAGTGCCCACGGTCCTGTGGCAGGCGTGCCCACATAAGGCACCAAGAACCAAAAGAAGACGCGACCGCTACCGTGCCAGTCACAGCGGCCGCGACTTGGCTGCAGCTCGAATCCCATGAGCATGCACCAAACCCAATCTGTGAACCCCATACCCCGACCCGTGAATGCTAAACCCGAACTAAAGCGTGAACCACAAATTTCTCCAACCCCACTGGCCTAAACACCCCAAACCCTACGCTTGAGCTCGGGACTGCAGCGTTGCGGCAGCTGGCTTCAGCGTTGTGCTGACAACGATGGTCCGTGCACTGAAAGCCCAGAAACTGGAACAGGGCATGTTTATTGGCACCTCTTTCTTAAAAAGTTCCCTAAGCTGTTTCGTGGCTGATTTCGAGGGAATCCGTACTGCTTTCCTTTGCGCGGGCGCAAGCGGCCTGAAGCCTTGCCCTCGCTGCGTCAATGTCCTGAAACGCAACAATCCATCGGCCAGTTCGGCAGTGGCCCGCGAGGGAACCTTCCTACCCTAAAAGGTGATGAAAACCTGGATCCAAAGATTCATGCCCTCAAGAATCGGGGGTTATTCATCAAGGCTCTACATCAAACCCTGAACCCTGAACATCTAACCCCTTAGCATTAGCCGTTGTAGTACCCTTGGGGTATCCCTTAAAGGAAAGCTTAAAGGTCAAACCCGGAAACCCTAAACCACTCGCGCAGGAAGGAGTCATCCGGCTGTGCAGCATCAAGTCCTGGCAAGGCATCTCCAAGGCAGGATTGTGAGGGGGTTCATAAGGTTTAGGATTTAAGGCTTAATGAGGGTTTACAGGGTTTAGGCTTTAGGGTTTAAGTTTATAAGGTTTAGCGTTTAAGGTTTAATATGGCTTAGGGTTTAGGGTTTATAAGGCTACGGCACACTCCAGGTTCAGAATTAGGGTTAAGAGTTTAGGGTTGTTGATACGGGAGTATCCGAAATAGGGGACCCTAATATAGTACCCGAAATAGTAGGATCCTTATTTTAGGGACCCCAAAACAAGGTACTCCTAATCTTAGGAACTCCCATAAGCGCCTTGAGAGGATGACGACGAGCATCAGGGACTAGGTTCAGGAATGGTGTTCCATTGCATTCTCTTACATGTAACACAGGGGTTCTAAGCTAGAGCCCCTCTACAGAAACCTTCTGAGCTTGCGTATCGGTCATCTAGAACTAGAACCTTTGTGAAGCTTAGCCTCTACACCCACTCCCCAACCCTCCTGTGAAAGCCACAAGTGGCCGCTATGGAGTCCTGTATGCCACCCTGTGAACCCCTTACTCCATACTACCCTCGCAGCAAGCCTGAAGGAACCCATTGTTTCTTGAAGCCCTGACCCAGCCCCCGACTCCCTAAACAGAAACTGTTGTCATAGACACCCGACTCAGTAGTATAATCCCTAAACGTGTCCTAAAGGTCAGATAACCTCTACCCATAGGCCCCAAAGTAGTTCCTTTTTGGGATTACCTTATTGGATTCGATATACGAACCCCCCAAAAGGAACTACTTAGGGACCTTAGGGTAGTTCCCCTTGAACACTGGACCGGCAAGTTACAGAAGCCCCAAGCCCTCAGCCGGACACCCAAACTCTAAACTCTGCACTCTAAATGGGAGTTTCCGAAAATCAGGGGTACCTTATATGGGGGCCCTTATAGTAAGGATCCTACTATTTAGGGTACTATCGTAGGGTCCCCTATTTTCGGAAACTCCCACATCTCAAACCTTCACAGTACGCCTTAAATCCCTACAGAAACCCTTTCAACCCAAGACGCTTGAGGCTTCAGAGCTGCTCGGAAGCGGGTTCCGTCGTGAGATCCACAACGATCAGGCGCCTCGGCCCTTAGCGGTTTCAAGGGTCCTTTACAGGGTCCTTCAAATGCCAATTGGAACGTGTTTTTAGGGCTGTTGTTTTAGTTGCGTTCTACAAGGCCGTTAACAAAGGTGTTCGGCATAGGGGTTAGGGGCCATGGGTTGAGCCGTTCAGGGCGTTGGGCTTATATAAAGGGCTCCGGGTCGACTTAAAAGATCATGGGGCTTAGTGATTGGGGTTATAAGTAAGGTCTGTTATGATACGTATAGCCCCAATCAAGTTTCGCATAACCCTACTTACTAAGTCCCGTGATCCTCCAAGTAGATATCTCGAGCATAAAGCGGCAGGAGTTGGGGTTGGAAATTCTGGAAACCCTACCTGAACTTTGTAAAATCCAGCTTTGCGGGTTCCCTATTATGATTTGCTTGCATAAGTCCTTAAACGCAGGTAGTTTTTCTTGGAGTCCATGTAAACCCTCAAGCCGTAAACGCTAAACCGACCGTGGTCGATGGGTAAACAATTCTGGCGGATGCCACTTTTACCGACACTGGAGACGCCAAAATTGCGACCCTCAGAGACCTAAGCCCATGATTCTTAACCTTGACGCCACTGGTTAGCCCGGGACCTGGAAAGTCTAAACCCATGTCCATCAAGTTGCAGGCTGCTAGAGGGCACCCTAACCGTCCACCCTTAAAGCCTTAAAGCCTGAACCCCTGAACCCTAAACCGTGCAGCGCAAGGGCAAGTTTTCGAGACTCGGGACAGCCACTCCAGAGGAAGCTCTCCGTGCCTGCACCAGAATCTCAAATGTCACTAAATCGGCCTTAATTCGGTAGATTCCTTAAACCGTATATTCGAGATCCTACTATAATTTCAGGAATTTAAGGTATGTTGCTTGTTTATTGGTATTGGATGTCTCTGGGTAGGTTTAGCCGGCTTTCAGAGCTGTCACACATCATCCCGCGCGGGAAGAACAAGAGTGGCCACAACCCGCCGACGTTGGAAACAGAGAGTTTATATATATATATATATATATGTATATATATATATATATAGTGGCTTCGTTTTGGGTATGGGGGGAAGCAAAAGGGTCCATATAAAAAATGGGTTATATTCTTTGAATTTGGCTTGAAAGTAAACCCAAAATAGGTACTCTAGGGCCAAAAGCACATGCTATTGGGGTACATGGGTTCGAGTATGGATAGGGCAAGGAAGCTATGGCCTGGACAGAGGTCTTTGATACACGGAATTCCATTTGTCACCACACCTGAGCATTCAACTCTAAACCTGAACAATCTCTCATTGTCCCGTGGTAACCCTGCGTGAACCAGTCCCAAAAAAATCCTGAAGCATTGCCTTTGCTTCGCAGCCGGTCGACATCCCGACTGAGCCCAATCCGGCGGCCAAGCCACCGCCGAAGAGCCCCTTCAGCGAGGGTGGCGTGGTCGTCGGGGTCCCCAGGTTCAGGTTTACACGTTCCACTATACTTAAAGGATCATGGGACTTAGTAACTGGGGTTATAAGTAAGGTAACTATAGTTATAAATACTTATAACCCAAGTTAAGGTACTTGTAACTCTACTTGCTAAGTCCCATGATCCTTCAAGTAGGGTGCAGTGTCCGAAAGCCACGACCTTTAAACTCGAAAATGTTGGGGGCATGAAGCTCTAAGACTCCAGTTACGTGCTTTCAGGATGTTTGGATTATACGCTCCTTTAAGCAACACTTTTATATACCTTGTTCAGGCCATTTTGAGTGTTTGTGAAGGCAATAAACCTTCAGGTGTTCGAGTTTTGAAGCCAAAACGAACTACAAGGACACTAAACCCTAAACCCTAAACCCTGCCCTATAAGCCCTAAACAAAACGAACTACAAGGGGGATCATAGCCTCAAAAATCCTAACCTACATAACTACTATCCTAAAACCGAACACCGAATTGTTGGGACCTTTGGACCCTTGGGGGAAGGGCCAGAGCGACGCCTTTTCCGACGAGGATGCACGCCCGAAGTGTTCTGGGCTTTGGGTCTGGATCGCATGCATAATTGGCATATACTGGTTGTTCTGTTTAAATGTATAATGTTACAGGTACAGTATAATGCATAGTCGTTAGCATATAACCGTCTTTACAACTATAATGTTACAGTATAATGTACCCCAAAAAATACCATGTAATAGTCAGTCATTATAACTATAAGGTTACAGTTCAATGTACCCCATAATCATCATGTAATAGTCATTATAACTGCAGTGTTACAGTATAATGTCCCAAGAACCTTATTCTAGTTATCAACGCCCCATTTTATAAGCACGGAATTGGCCGCCAAACTCTGCCGTCAAACATTCACCAAGTTGTTCTTTCTCAACATGGCCACAATTCAAGAGGCTTGTTGTAAGCTGTCTTTGGAACCAACAGCTTTAAAGGATGAGTCCTTAGAGCCGCAGTGTAGTGTGATCCATAGTGCACTGACTCTTTCACGTGCAGTCTTCACTTCGAGGATGGCCATTTGAAGGCCCAGTCTTTAGCTTTTTGTTTACAGGGTTAAGTTACCCTAAGGCTCCATAGTAGTTCCTTTTTAGGGTTCATATTTAGAATCCTATAAGGTAACCCCAAAAAGGAACTACTTTGGAGCCTCTGCGTATAGTTTAGTTGACGAGACTGTACGTTAGGCGCCCAGCCGATCTGAGGCCATGTCCAAAGTTCTGAGGCCGAAAGCCCAAAGCCTGCCCTAAACCCTAAACCCTAAACCCTAAACCCCAAGCCAAACTAAATCGGGAGCTACACCGCAGAGCCTGTCCTCACCTTGAGGCTTGAGCCCCTGTGTCACAAATGTTCATGGTATAGGGCTTAAAGGGTTTTGGGTTTGCACCCAAGAATGTAATAATGGGACCCTCTGTGACGTGTGTGTATATATATATATAGAGATATATAGATATACAGGTCTACGTAAGGACCTTGAAAAGAAAGAACCCTTTGTAATCCCCAAACCCCTAAAGCCTATGATTATCCTGAACGACCGAAAACAGTAATCCCTAAAGCCCCATAAACCCGAAGAACTCCCAAGGTCATCGAAGGCGCCACTGGAACCGGCAAGATCGAAACAGCAGAGCACATCGCCGGGGTCTTACGGCTCGAGGTTTTAAGGTGTTCAGGGCCCCAAGGCTTTTGTAGGGGTCGAATATTCAGTAATGATGTCCCTTCTAGTCATTCTAGTCCTTCATTTACTTATACCTTCCTGAATGCACCTCAAACTTCCTTATTCTGACTGCTCAACTCCCCCCCTATTGCCTTTCTTTTGAAGAATCTTTGTGTCCCAAACACCCTAGAGGATTTGGCTAGTGCAATGTACTTCGTGTGACTGTGTGATCTTCCAGGAATTTCCGACGACGGTTGTGTTGTTGACTCAGACGAAGGTTTAGGGTTTAGGGGACGACAGAATCACGACTACGACACTTTGAACTGCCTAGAGGCCAAGACTACCAAGCATGTTCTTCCTTCCCTTGGTTCAAGAACGTCAAAGCCGTGGTGGTGTTGATCAAGCGGTAAGTCTTGCTACTGCTGATCCTCCTGCTACTGCTGCTGATGCCGCAGCTGCTCCGGCTGATGCTGCTCACCCTTCTGTTCCTTCCCCTAAGGCTCCATGTACCCATATAGTATATAATTAGGCCTTAAAGCACCTATATAGGGACCCCTTTAAGGCTTAAGTATCTACTATAAGGGTACATGGAGTTTTTGGGTTCTTTCCTGCTACTGCCACTGTCCACTGCTCCCAACGCCCCCTGGCGACTAAACGCACGAGTATGGATCCCTGCATGATTCGAGGCGTGGGGCGCCCCCATCAGGCCAACACAGCCTAAAACTCACCATAAAGGCTCCCCAGACACTCCAATATCCCTCAATTGAGAATTATTCCTTACCATATAGGATCCTACTATAATTTAAGGTCTATTGGAGTCTCTGGGTCTTCGAAGACGCTGGAATCATGCCTAGTTTAAGGTCTACAGGCTGCAGGGCTCTCCGGTGAGTTGTGACTTGAAGTCCGCACCGCTGCAGGTGGTCCATTCTGCTGTGACGTTCCGGATGTTCCCGGCGGCTGCCTTAGGCGTCATGCATGGTTTCAGAGGCATACCTGGGGAACATGAAGCACCGTTGTTTTCTATATGGGAGTTTCCGAAAACAGGGGACCCTGATATAGCACCCTAAATAGTAGGGCTTATTATAATGTCCCCAAAATGCGGTACCCTTATTTTCGGAAACTCCCATTCACCAAAAACCTCTCCTGGGTTCAGGGTTAATTATAGGGCTTCTCAGAACACATGGATCTGGCTTTCCCGAAAAGCAACGTAGTACAAGGGACCTGAATTTAGAGAACTACGGTACCATGTTAGACCTCGTCAAGGCGTCCACACCAGCACCTTCAAAGACGGCTGAGCATCTAAGAGTACATTGCAAGGCACGCCCTAACTTAAGTAGTCGCCCAAACGCTGCAGCCTTGAGCCTCTACTCTTTGAAACCCCCGTATAAAGCGTTTAGACTCAAATACCACACCGCAAAGCCGTAAAAGCCGAAGCCATAAACTCTGTAATTATATTGTTGTGCTCAGGCTTTCGGAAGCATGGGGCCACGCCCCGGGGACAGCGTGCGCTTGGCCTGCGAGCTGTTGAGGACCGGCACAAGCTTTTGGAGTTCGATGGCTTCATGAATTTCCAAGAGGTTGAGAGTACGTTCTTTTGCTGGTTGTCTCTAAACCCTAAACCCTAAACCCTATAACCCTAAACCTCTCGTGATTCATCGCATATCTGACTTTAAAGGGGTGGTTGTCATAGGCTCACGGGCTGATATAGGTGGTTTTTAGAGGTGAAGGGTACACGGCATACGGTTTAGGGGTTTAGGTTTGGGTTTAGGGTTTAGGGGTTTAGGGGCTTAGGGTTTAGGGTTTAGGGTTTAGGGTTTAGGGGTTGGGGCTTTGGGCTTAAGGCCTGAGGGTTCAGAGGAGTCAGTAACCTCAGCTGGAATTGGTAGTGCGACCTCCGTAATGCAAAGAGTGCACCCTGAGCCCTACTGCACAGCTTGGGGTTTGTTCTAAGCCCCTTTTTTCTCATGTGGGAGTTTCCGAAAATAGAGGACCCTAATATAGTACCCTAAACAGTAGGATCCCTATTATAAGGAACCCCAAATAAGGTCCCAGAGCCTCCAAAACCCCTGAATTAAGGAATATGCCTTAAATTATAATAGGATCCCTAATATGATTTAAGGTATATTCCTTAATTAAGGGGTTTTGGAGGCTCTGGGGTACCCCCAATCTTCGGAAACTCCCATGGTGGGGCCCAGGGGTTTTAGCTGCTGAGCTGCAGCGTTCCGTTCCGGGTGATCTCGGTTTAGGACTTAGGGTTGAGACTGGCAGCGTTTAGAGTCTAAGGCTGTAGGGATTTTGGGGGGCTTTTGCTTGAGGATTTAGGGGCTTTTTCTGTGCTGTACGGGCAGGTTCTGCAGAAAGCCCTCAGCACACTGCAATGGGTCAGATGATGCTGCTTGTTCTTGCGATGCTAGGTTGCAGGGTGACTGTTCTCATGATGTCGGAGCCTATATGTTACGGGTGTTAGAGATATTGGATGGGTGGTTTCGAAGATTTCCATTCTGCTGTGCTCAAGCAGCACCTGTCCTGGTAATGTAGGGGCCTCAATAATTGGAAAGGGTTCAGGATGATAAGGAACCCTCAAAGCCCTCTTCTAATTGTTAAGGCCCCTACAGTAACAGCTCATTAGCAGTACTAGCCTTAGTAGTAGTTAGTGGTAGTAGTAGTAGTAGTAGTAGTAGTAGTAGTAGTAGCAGTAGTAGTAGTAGTAGTAGTAGTAGTAGTAGTAGTAGTAGTAGTAGTAGTAGTAGTCGTAGTAGTAGTAGTAGTAGTAGTAGTAGTAGTAGTAGTAGTAGTAGTAGTAGTAGTAGTAGTAGAGTAGTAGTAGTAGTAAGTAGTATTAGTACAGTACTAGTAGTAGTAGTAGTAGTAGTAGTAGTAGTAGTAGTAGTAGTAGTAGTATAGTAGTAGTAGTCGTAAGTAGTAGTGTGTGGTAGTGGTAGTGGTAGTGGTAGTGGGTGTGTAGTAGTATAGTAGTAGTAGTAGTAGTAGTACCCTACGCGCCCTTATTTGATCGCAGGTCAAACTGCTTCACGGGTGGGGGGGGTGTGGGGGGGTGCGGGGGGGGGGGGGGGGGGGGGGGGGGGGGGGGTGGGGGTGGGTGGGGGGGTTATTAACGTCCTGTTCCAAGCACAACATGTGTGACTTCTTCACCGAAGCCTCAACCCTCAGCCTAAACCCTAAACCCGACAGCTGAGTTTGACTTGCGCGAAGCTCGGCCCCCGATGAGTGCACCCGCCAAACGATTTGATACGTGTCCAAGCAATGTTATCTTATAAATGATATATATATATATATATATATATACACATATATAATACTATATATATATATATATATATATATACATATATAAAAATATATATATATATATATATATATATATATATATATATATTTTTTTTTCATCTATGTATGTATCTATATATATATGTATATATCTATGTGTGTGTATACAATATACATATACATATATACAGATACATATACATATATATATACACCTCTTTGCTGCTGGACATGAAATCTTGGCTTTTGGCAGATGGTGCACAAATCGAGAAGTGTAACCCGTTCTCATCTGGCAGGCGCATGACCCCTGCTCAGGATGACACGCACAAATCCGAACGGATTTGGCTCAAAAGCAAGCCCTCTTGAGGGTGCAGCGACGTCGGGTGCCAAAAGCACCTCCTGGGGTTTTACGTCTTCGGCATGGGGTTGCTTGCTTGAGGGCCCTTGTAGTGCCTTGCTATCCTGCAGCCTCTTTGATGCATCAAACCAACTATGAAAAGGCATCTCCCGATGCGAACCCAAGAAATCAACAGCACGGACTATGTCTGCACAAGTATGTATATAGATGTTTGTCTTCCAATGGATGTATGTACGTATGCAGAGAAACACGTGAGATGTAACATAATAGTGAGATCATGTTCTTTTGCGCGTCGAAAGGCCACTAAAACTAGTAACTAGTTTCGCCGCTTTTGTAGCATTGCCTCAAGTCCGCGCACGAGCAAAACCACGGCTGCCTAGACACATGATGCCCTGTATTTTAAAGCACTTCGCGTCTTCTCAACACGTTCGGTGTTAGTTCAAGCAAAAAGAACCACACGATCAATCATGATCCTGTTGCGTCATCCAACAAGTAGTTTCCCAGGAATTCTGGCCCTCAGGAGTTCGCAGCATGATATGGTCCATGACGCGAAAGTGCTGTAAAACACAGTGCAAAAGCTGCCTTCAGCAAGCATCACCATGCCCGAAAACACCACGATCAATTAGGAGCGTGGCGCCTAGTAGTAGTAGGAGGAGGAGGAGGAGGAGTAGTAGTAGTAATAGTTGTAGTAGCAGTAGTAGTAGTAGTAGTAGTAGTAGTAGCAGCAGCAGGAGTAGTAGTAGTAGTAGTAGTAGTAGTAGTAGTAGTAGTAGTAGTAGTAGTAGTAGGACTAGGAGTAGTAGTAGTGATAGTGGTAGTAATAATAGTAGTAGTTGAAATAGCAGTACTAGCCCGCGAACCGCAAGAGGATGCATTTTTTGGAGGTTTCGGGCCTCTAGCAACCAGAATGTCCCTGGGCTGGGGCTTTAAGGAACTCCTGGATTCTACTTCGCCAGGGCTTGAGGCCGTCAGAAGGGTCGTGGCATCTGGTTTAGGGGTTGGGGGTTTAGGGTTTAGGGTTTGGGGTTTAGGGTTTGGGGGTTGGGGGTTTAGGGTTTAGGGATGCTTTAGGGGTTGGGGGTTTGGGGGTGTAACAGCTCAGTCATGTAGCTCTGAGATACAAAACCCCCTAAGCCCCAAACCCTGAAGCCAAAATCCCAAGCCCTGTCTGTCCCTGCAACTCGAACCACTGGAGCCTGCATCGCAAGCCCTGTCCCCCAAAACTCCACACACAACCCGAAACCCGCTTAGGGCAGGTGCATTACTAATTACCAATAACTGTTTCGGGGGTTCCTTATTGTAATCACAGTATAATGGGCCCCAAAACCCTTTTGAAATTATTAAGGCCCCTATATTAAACTCCAAACCTCAGACCCCAAAAGGCTCTAAACCGTAGCACCAAACCTCTAGAACCCCCTAAACTTCAAACTGTAAGCCGGTGTGAGGAGCACCATGAACATCTACCGAAGGGCTGGGAAGGCGAGACCCTCTCCGATCCGATCTGGTCCTTAGGAGACTGGATTCGGTTTTAGGGTTTAGGAGGATTCAGATTTTAAATTAAGTTACCCTAGTAAGG